AATGCCTTTTTTCTTGTCTCAGTGAGAAGCACCATGATCTCAAACAAGCCTTAGCAATGAGACCTGTCTATTCAATTAAAACTATGGATACTTCGTTTGCCATCCCGTTAAAATCTTGTAGTTACGTATTGTTTTCGCCGAATTCAGGTAAGCAATCATGCAAAAAATAATTATATACGTTCAGTTTCGGAGCAGTTTAGATTCCATTCATTACTCCTTTGCACTACGATGGAATTGGCATGAAGCAAAGTGGGGGACAGAGGAAAGAATGCAAAAAAGAAGCAAATAAAAAAGATAAATTGAAACTGCTATGAAAACGCAAAGAAATATCGAAAGAAACATCGAATTAAGAAGATGAAGAAGTAATCAATCATCTGTAAACAAATACATTTAAGAATGCAATTTTGTAGCTGTTGTTGTTTCTATTTTTTTGAGAAAGTTGGCGCGAATTGCAAGCAATATTATTATTACTGCGAAAAGAGGAAAAAACAAACAAAAACAAACTCATAAGCAACGAACGTGTACGCATTAGCAAGAAAGTGTAACGGTTGTAGCAACACAATATATTCACTAATACACGAAAAAATCGAGACAAAAATTCTTTCAAAGACATCTAATTAGGTGGACGCGTTTCGCTCAGTCAAATTTTATGTATTTATTTGTTCGTCTTTCATCGAACGACAACTATAAATGTTTGTCGTATTGCATCCTACACAAATAAGCTATTATACTTTCTCATAAATTCAATTAAATCCAATTCACATTACGTAACTATATATTCACGCTTATTCACATATATTGCATTTTCCAAAATAATTTCCCTTCCACTCTTTTGAAAAAAATCCCCTTCTTGAACTCTATTTAAAAAACATTGGAAATTTATTTTCGCCATGATTCTTAATCAAACAAAGACAGCATATAAGTATATACTTACTTACAGAAAAATTAATCTGTTCTACTATTTCGTTCCCTTGTGAATACCACTATGAGGATGTTCATGCTGAATACAATGAGATTTCGTCTCAAAACACTTCGTATGTTATCGTTTCCATTTCATTCATCTCATTTTTCGGAAGTACGTCACCCGGCGTTACATAACAGAACTAGACCACACAACAGACCAAGCATACAACCAATACACGCAATCGAAAATGTCTCGATGACACACCCCTGTAATTCATCGCATTCCTTCCACATTACAGTTGAGCCAATTCACTAACCATTTTCTACTTTCCTACTATTTCTGATGATAACAACGATGAATTCTAGCTTACTTACGATGTCGTTTTACCATTGCTACTAACATAAATATTCCCTTATTCTTTCAAAATTTACTCACAAAAACGCGACGAATACAACCATTGCAAGAAACCAAACACTAATTATTGCTTTATAGCTTACATTAAACCAACTCAATATTCTATCCGTTTGTTCATTCATCTATACGTCTTCTTCTCAACCGAACTGTATCCCAACTTGAAGCATCTTTATCAACCAATTTTATGCACAACAAATAAATTCACACCGGTGAATGTTAAAGTTGAGGAAATATGTTTCGTCCCCTATATAAGCAAACATTATTCATTATATATTACGAGAAGCTATCATACATGCAACTAGGCCTACTAAGGTCTCCAAAAAAGTCGAACTGTTTTCCCAAATACGTTTGATATTGAAATCACAAGCGACCTTCATGAGAATCGATAGCGTAGAGAAGAAAGTTTATGATAAGTGATAAAAAATACTAATACTACTACTACTACTAATAATAATAATAATATCATGAACGAATGAACGGATGGAATAATAAGATTTACAGATGAATAAATCAACTACTTCTTTTTAGTGCAGTGTTGGAGAAGGGGTGAGTAAGAATGGTGATTCTTCATTACTATTATTAATTTATTATTATTATTATTATTACTAATATTCCTTTATTATCATCATTACTGTTAATATTAGCATTATTATTATGAAAATCACGATCATATTTGATCTACAATAGCAGAAGAAGCGATTTCAGCCCTTAATTAATGGTCGTTATACGCTAGCTCGAGTGAAGCCTGTATATGTTCTACTTTAGTGGATCACAAACCACCCGTTCCCCTCTTTCACCGTATGGAACACCACCATTCCTATCCACCCCCTCTTCAAAAGTGCAAACGGTCGCAATCCCCTGTCCTCTTCTCCGACAATCTACAACATCTCGGTGACAAACGAGAAGAAAATCAAGAAACTGATCCAACGATAAAGGGAGTTTTTCCTTTCAAAAATTCGTCGATGGTATTAAGGGAATCAATTTCTTGGTGTCAAATACGCATTTTGAATGAAATTTTTGAACATTCATGAAGGAAATGTGGAGAAAAATCAATTAACCGTGATCTACCAACCTTTAATTTCTCCTCTATTATCCTCAAAGTCCCACGCCCCTCCCCCTGAGGGGAATCGATAAATGAACAAAATTCTCTTCTGCTTTACACTTCACTCCCATTTGAAAATCCATTTTTTCCACCCATCAAATAAATGACACCTTCGATGTTAACCGTAGTCTTGTAGCACTGCGTCATGCACATGAATAAATTTATGCATGTGCACCATTGCCGATAATTGATATTACAATCATTGTGCATCATTTCGGTTACATTGCATGTAAATCGAACATAATTTTAGAAAACTCCATGCCATACGTATGTCCACACCAGTGATGGGATCCGACCGACAGTCGATCGGAAAAATCCGACGAACCACTCCGACAGTCGGTTGGAATTCCGACTGTCGCAATGACGAAATGCCAATTCGGTTAGATCCGACCGATCAAAATTTCGCTCGGACCCCGTCACTAGTCCACACACAATGAATAGCACTGTTTTTATCAAATCGCGAGGCCTAACCGGAGAATAAACACCAATATATCAATAACTCAAATGCTACTAATATGCGATCAGAATAAAACCCAATTAAGATCACCAGCCACAGAGATGTCTTTAGTAGGTGCTTGTAATACACGAAATCGACTCATCACATTACAAAATAAGAATATTAATGAGTAAACACAAACAAACAATATCAATCGAATTAGAATCCTTTAGTGCTTTCAGCAAGTATTAATCCAGGAAGCTATGCACAATCATGGGTATGGAAAATACTAGTTTCATATCCCCTTACGTTCATCCACCTTATCGATAACACATCAAGAGTGATAAACGATGGAGGAAAACGATTTTTTCATTAAATATATTTACACTATCTTCCAACTGAGGACAAAATTTTAGCCAATATTAAGTGAATAACAGACACACTTCCAGCTGGATTGAGAATTTTTGTGACGAATCTGTCGAAGAATAAACCGGAATCAGTTTCTTGAATGAGTGGTAAGAAAATATTAAAGCAACAACAACGTTGCACCTGAAAAAATGCAAGAAAGCATAAACGTCTAAAAAAACTTCGATGAGAACGCATGGCCCGGATACATTCGTACTCGTTCACACTCCGATCCGAGTTCGCAGTTTTCGTCTCGAGATAAGCGGACAAATTTGAAATTAGCTTTTATGACATGTTTCTCGAACGATGTTGAAAAAGTTGGCTGAGGGCGTTTTAGGTAAGAGTTTGACGCATTTCTACTGTTCCACTGGTATTCTGTTATCAATGGGCATGCATAAAATCATTTATTATGAACAATATGGTTGCGGATTGCACACTGTTGAGTGATGAAATGAAGGCAGGCGTTCTTGAACATGTTATTTATAATTGCAGTTGCCAACGGTCAAACGTTTAGCATACAATCGATCGCAAATGAATGTATCTTGCAAATTAACGTTCCGCTAAATTTTCACTTTTACTCCTCTAGTAAAACTAATTCCTTAACAGTCACGTGCCATTCTTGAATTCAACGACACTATTGAGTAGGAGCAATACATATTTAAAACATGAATAATGCATCAAGAATGGTTTTTCTCAAAGCATCCAAACGTAAAATTCCGGACAAATAAACAAAGAAATATTTCTTTTGCTTTTGTTCTTCCTTATGAGAATCACGTAGAGTTTGCCACTCGAAAGGTAGCCCAAGAATCGAGTGTGGTACTCGTTGTCTGAGAACCAAGAATCGCAGCCGATTTCGCATTGCTTCAATCTTCTCGGTTTCCTCATCCATGTAACTTATAACCAAGTCGAACTTTCTGCCTCTCACCTCCAACAAAATCATATTACACTCATCGAAAGAGCATATTGATACAGAAATGAGTTTCAAGTGAAGCCATTTTAATGAAAAAGAAGTACCGTTAAACTGTTATGCTTACACTCGATGTAGCAAATTTTAACTAGCGGGAAGTGAAAGTTAGCTCGTGGATACTCAGTGCAAACGCATAAATTCGAGTACATCACTTGGATGCGTGCATTTACACACACTCTCGGCAGGTAATTGCCCTTTCGTTTACAATAGATTACCTAAAATTCGATGATCAATTCAAACGAGTCATTCAATCATTTCTTTAAATTTTATACCACTGCTTATGTAGTACATCAAATTTGCATATAGCAAAATCAATTGATTGAATTGATTGAACTTTTGATTCATTTGACTGCACAATATCGATAGTGAAAATTAGGAGATTGCATTTCAGATCTAAAAATATAAACTAAAATTCACGCAACAAATATTGAGAAATAGCAACGACTAAAATAAGGATAGCAACGTTTAACTTTGCAGACCAGTCAGCATATAATCCAGGTATCGTGGACACACAATCATTTTCATTGCTTTCAGTCGCATCGCATTCATCCTTAGAAGGTCGTCGCAGAAGATGCAACTGCTTTCGCTCGTCTTCATTCATCTAAAAGCTATCCATTATTAGTGATAAAGGAATGCAAGCTGATATCAGAATAAGCACAGATAGTGGGTAGATAAAGGTGTAGTGTCAGCACAACAGGTGAATAGACAGGTAATCTGGGATCAAGGATATTTCAGTGGAGACAACAGTGAATGGTAGTATGAGTGACGGTGAAGATAATCAATCGTTTGAATGTTATGTTTGCTGACCATTCGAGCAATTGAAGCATCGATTCGTGCTATTCGCATAATGAAGCAATGAACAACTACCTCTTTTCGCATCAGCATTCTTCTTTCAGATTATACAACAACTTAAACAATCAAATCTATTCATTCAAATCTTGCATTGTTAGCATTACAGCTTCTCATCATTAACTATTTACTTACAGTGCCACCGCGTATTCTTATTACAATTATCATCACTCACAACATCATGAATATTTGAATAAATCTTTCCATATCAACTCTTACAGAAATATCGCTATCAAAGAACCTGCATGCTGCATGCTCACTTTCGCTTATTAATACATCATTTACCCACAAACGGCACATTCACAAATGTCGGAGATAAAAAAAATCAATATTTCAGGAGGTAGAGATCAATTTCTGATGATATGTCACATGGGTGAACGATCCTCTTTGTGGATGTTATATTCAAGGTGTTATATGTTCGAGATTACTGTACCACAAGGAGATTCCTTTCAATCATTGGGTTCAGAAGATCCTCCAATATTAAAAAATCTATATGTTGTGGACGTATGATGCTTAATTTCAGAGACATAGTTGAACTTATACCGATATTTCATGCAGATGAGCGATTCCATGATGCCGTTTTTTCGTAAGGGATTTATATAGAATCTTTGTGAGAAATTTCAGTTCTTTGCAACTATGCAATTTTAATCAGCCGCAAATTGCTTCGAAAACAGAGAATCCGTAGGTGTATGGCAGTGGCTCTCAACCTTGTTTGCCCCTCGCACCCCTACAACAATAGTTTATTTAAGAATGGAACGCAACCGAAAGAACTATTTTCAAAATATTAAGTGAAGTATGAACAGCGTTAACATGAAGTATGTCCTCGACTACTTTATTGCATAAAAAATAAAACCTCTCGTACCCCCTCCTCACCCTTTACTCACCCCTCTCATCGCACCCACTCCCGCACCCCCTTTCACCCCACCTTCTCCCGCACCCCTGACATGCCACCTCGCACCTTCGGTTGAGAAACCCCAGTTTATAGATAACACTGTGGTACTATGCAATACTAAGCGTACAATGTGCGCCGCCGAGCTACGTTAGAAACCATCAGAAAACTATCTATTTCTAGGAATTTAACATATCACTTTTCTGAAACAGTAGAACCTGGAGAATCCGATGGTGAGGGGAAAAAGACATGTTGCCGGACAGACTTAAGAGTACCGTTAGATTGAATATGGTGATCCTGAAATTGCTAATTTCTTGTGTACATTGATCAATGCAGATACAATATATAGGAATGGGCGGCTCAGCTACGATGACATGGCTTCAAAAAATCGTCAACACTACTTGCAATAAATGAAATCGATTTCCATGACTTATTTCCACCCAACTCTGATTTCCATGACTTTTCACTACTGCCATTCGTAATATTACTTACAGCATTACAGTTCTATTATGTCGCGGTAATTTTTTTATTCCCTTCAGTCATATCACTGATTGACTTTTATCTAAAATTTTCTGAAGAATCCGTAACGCTTTTAGTTTTTTAAATCATAATTTATGATAATAATGACATCCATATCCATATTTACATTCATATGACATACATCCATATTCAATCATTTATTTTTCATCACAACGACATCCATAATTTATCATAATTTTCCATTTCCTAGCCTTGCAATTCTAGTTCAGTTGGTTTCTCGATGAAAGCGAATGGTATTGAATAATTTGGCATAACACGATCAACTTTTCTCTTGAGAAAGATTTTTCTTTTCGCGCAAATCAAGAAAAATCATGTTCTGCCTCCGCGAGGAGATAGAGCTATTTTCCTGATGCTATAGGGGTTAGCTCATTCAAACCTACCGTACTCTCAGCTTTGACCAGTAACATATCACTACCTTCACATCAATCGATCGAGCAGAATCTCTGCATTATGAAAAACATATATTTTGTCGGGCGATTTTGCTTAGTTGAGGAGCTATAGTTATTTTATTAAAGCTATCTCTGCTAGCGTTGAGGTGCTCATTGATATGCATTTGATCACTATAGATCAACAGATATTATGCATTTCTATAGAAATATAGGTTTGTTACATTCAAGCTTATATTTAACACGAAAACGTCTGATTGTATATAACATATATTTAAGTGGTTGCATTGAGCCGCTCATTTCCTCACATTGTATCTTTGTTGATCGATGTTTGTAGAGTTGAACTTTTGTTAGTATGTGGTGGATCGAAAGTAGTATTAGAACACAATTTATTGAATATTATCGAATTATTAATTACAATTACAAAACCAAGTAAGTGGCCGATCAGCGGCTCTTATAGTAACCAGGCGACTGACAATAATTCCAATAATAGTGCGAGAATCCCAGGAAGTATCAATCAATGGTTACACTATTAATAGCACAGTTGAGAATACTTTCAGTTGAATTCGGGAATAACAATTAACAATTTAATTAACCCAGGAAGACGCCAATCAGTGGCCTGTTTCACAACTTCAATACAATTTTCAACAATATAACTTTCAACGATAGTTACGACCTCTCCAACGGTCTGCACGAGTAGATATGAACCTGGTTGCTGGGTCTTCCTCTCCTCCCTTTTTAAGCCGATCCTTTGTTCGTGCTTTCCCATGTTCCTGCAAGATGGTATTCGTGGATAAGGTCATCTGCTAATGCTTTTAGCTTTCAGATAATGCCTTTGTTTTGACTGTAGGCATGCATTTTAGCTGGGTATGTATCTTTTCATGCAACTAAGAGAATGTAACAAATATGTAACAAAGATGTTGCCTTTCTCACGCATTTATCTTTTGATCTGAT